ATAAGAGGCTCTTATTTGTATTCTAGCTTGTCAGTATCGGTAATTTGAGTTTCTAATTCGTTCGAAACTATACTTAGTATTTTGACTTCACAAACATCTAATCTGAACCAGTGCTGCTTTTATCATACCACATGACACACAAAAATCGAAGTTTATCTGTGTTTCTAATAATTGCCTTTAAATTAAGAAATTGAGTAATATATAGTATTAAAATTTTAATTATAGTCTACAGTTTAATGCCAAACTTATTGACATAAATTCAAGAAATAGTAGAATAATAAAAATTTTGAATGTGAGTAAACAAACGAGATGACATGGCCTTTCACCCATGACCCGTCTGGAAAGGGTTAACTCCTTAAACATGAACAGACACTACCAGTGTCCACCTGTAAATCACAATTCATCCATCATCCAATAACATTTATATCTTTTTGGTTGAAAACTATTCCAAACCAAGTTTTTATCCACCATTTATAATTTTTTTATAAGGTATGATGATAATTATTAAAATATCATGACAATAATTCCAGCGGAAGGGACAAAAAATTATAGGTTTAAAGATCATCCACCAATGCATATTAAGGAATTTCCAAGGTGTTCAGGTACCTTTGACTTTAAAAAAAAAAGAAAGAAAAAAAAACTTTTTTGATCGGTTAGCTGTCTGTCAATCAGTTAGTTAAAAGGAATCTCATCATCTATACATTTTGGTTTAATATAAATATCAAACCAAACAAGATAATCTCAGATTGAGCCTACTAGCATTTTGTTTCCAGCTCCAGCACCCCACCTCTCTAGCATTTTTCTAATCAATATTGATCGAACTGGGTGGATGTCCAAATGCCAGCTCATTCTCATCCCTGATTTTATCTTCACTTTTAGCTAATTCTGTGTCATTATTATACTATTATACTATTTTTGTTGTGATGACTCTGATATTCCTGTTTTCCTCTAAGCAACAGATTCATCTATAAAATCTTATTTGACTGCTTCATATTCTTTACCACAATCATATTTTATAATTATTTTCTGTCAGATTTCACTTGTTTGGCACACAATTTGTTTTGTATGCATGAAAAAAGTGCATCTTTGTTTACATTGTTCATACAGCTTTTACTTAACGATTAGCTTTTTTTTTTTGTAGGTGTGGTTTTACATTATTATTCCTTTTTTTTTTATCTTTGTTACTATTCTTTCAACACAACTACTTTTTCTCGGATATAAAGTTTAATTCTTATTTTTTAAATGAAATAATTTTTATTACTGTTCTCCAAAAGCATTAACACTTTTGCTACATTTTATTCTTTTTCTGACTGGAAAGAATTAAGAGCATATCTCACCATCACCAATTTTTGAAAGTCTGTTTACTAGTGTACTGCACAATTGGTTATCTATACTATTATTCTGCTTGTTTGTATGTACGACCGTTACGCTTTCTGACCAAGAACCTGCTGCATAGGTATGCGTAGTTAGAATGTTCCCCAAGAAAAACTGCACAAGCGCATAATTTACTCGATGACAGTCTGTCTGTCTGCGGCAGAGAGCTGCAAAGCTCAATGATGATGTCACTACAATTGCTATATGAAACAAGAAGTAACAACAAAAGGGGAATGTAAATATACTTTACTAACCATTTTGTACAATAGAATATTAAAAACTTATCAAAGTTTTTTAAAAGTTTTGACGTTAGGTCATAGAATAACATTATAAGTTTATTTATCGATAATATTAAGTACAATAAAGTTTAGTCCTAACTAAACTAAAGTAAAAAAAAAATTTACACGGGTTACAGTGTTAATTTATCTCTTTATCGAATTTACGCCTAACATAAGTTAAAGTTTTATAAAGTATGACCTATATACAAGTGGATTTACACTTTTAATTGTCTTTGATTACAATTTGTTTGTATTGTGCTAGACATGTTATATTTAAAGAAGTACTGTTACAACAAAGAAATTAAGTTGGCCGGATATGGTTTGCGGGTCTCTACTAGTTGTGAATAAATACTGTACTTAAAAATATTAAATATACATTCCATAAAAGTAAATGTAACTATATTTATTATCTACTATTCATTGTAATGCGTTGCAATGGTTTCTGAGATAAAGTGTCATTCATAATTGGTTGTTGCAATTATTTTATGTAAATTTGATAGTAATTTTTATTTTTCTAGCTTAAGCAAATTACTATGCTTTTTAGATATGTCGGAAGGGGGTGTGAATGTTAATAAATGGTGTTCAAATTATGCAAGTTATTTTTATAATTTACAATTTATTCACTTTATAATCAATGCAAAAAGGCCATACATATTTACATCATATTTGTTATTTATTTTAGAAGTATAAATCCAGAAATACTGTAAAGATTGTTCTTATTATTAAATGTATTTTACATTACAAAGCCTAAATTTGTATTAAACGGTGGAGGTATTTTATTGTGGACTTTTTAACTATGCATTTTAAATTATGTTAGTTTGTATTTTGTTTTTAAGTAACAAGAAAACATTTCATTCATCTTAGCACAAAGCTACACAGTGGGCTGTCTGCTCAGTCCACCACAGGGACCTGATCTCTGAATTTTTGCATTGTAAGTCCTAAGCTTACTGCTGACCCACAGGAAGACCACAACTTGAGATAATACAACAATTATTGAAATCCATGGGATATCAACTCCATGCCAAATTTCATAGTAATTGACAAAATACATCAGAATTCCAAACTACAAAATATACATGTGAAATTTAAACATCTTTATAACAAGAACTAAACAAAAAAGGAGACTATGGTTTACAATTGAATTATCACAGAAAGGTTGAAAATTGGGACCCATCCTTGAAAAACAGGATTATGGACTTTTTTCCACCATTTTCTTTCTTTAACCTATTTGATAGCTAGACTGAATTCTCTTTAATAAATAAAAATAAATGTTTAGCTATTGCACAGTTCACAAAAATAAAAAAAATCTAAATTAAAAAACAATATAATGCTTCTCTCATCTGTAAATTATAATATTCCAAGCCTTACTTAACACTATGTTGTGTAAAAAGCTTTTTTTAATGATGAATGCTGGCTTTTTTGACATTTTAGTAGAAAGAAAAAAAATCCAGCTTGAGACATTTTGTAAAATTACCACCTTAATCCTTACCTAAGTAATTCTTAGCAATATTTGCTTTTTTTTTTTTTTTTTTTATAGATTTTTCACAGAATAAATATTTCGTCTGGATATACCAACCTTTCCAGCAGCTGGAAAGAGAGGTTTTGCAGGAGTCTGACCAGTTATCATTGTAGTTATGCCACTTCCAGGTGGTGGTCCCCTTAGTCCTGGTTGCATAGATGATGTAGCCATTGACCCCATTGGCATAGTGGCCACAGGAGGCATTCTGTTAGTAAGACAATTAACAAAATCAGTGCTGACACAGATATACAAAATTCCTTTTAATATTCATTTTTTACAATCTTTTAATTATCAATAATTCTAATTGTGTGCATACAGAAAGGTTAAACTATATTTTTCTTTCTAATGTGTAAGTTTTTTTGTATTTGTTCTTGAATCCGTGGTTACTTGACTAATCTTCAGATGACAGCAATTGTTAAGCCTACTTCACATAACTACATAATAGACAAAAAGCAGTAATATACTGAGCCACTATTCATAATCAAGCACTTCTTTCTTGTTAGCAATTAAACCTTACATATAATTCCAATATACTTCATAACTAAATGCTAATGTGTCTCGTTAGTTTTTCAACTTTTTTAATACTTCCATAAAATATGAAGATCAAGAATGAATGAGGCTAAACTGAGTGAAATTGAGCACATACTTGAAAAGTGCTTTACTAGTTTACCATCATATTAAGAAATTGTGAAGGATCAAAAAACAGATAAAACATAAAAATTAAAAAATTAAAACCCCACAATAACCAATGCTTCTTGAAACCAGAAATTCAGAGATCAAATGAGAATGAGTAGAAAGCACGGTGTGAGATTAGTAATCTTCACATATTTTACTATTATTAAGTGATTATGGAATTATACAATACAGCCTACACTTGGACACAAAAGATTCACTAGTAAAATAAGGAAACTTCAAACAAAACTGTACTTAAAAGTCACAGCCACATTTTGGTGACTAAGAATTTTATACACAATGTATTTACTTAAGAATTGCAAATCTAGACAATGATATGGCATGTCTAAAGTGTCAACTTCACTACAATTTCAAGAAAGTATAATAACCAATTATAACAGTAACAAATAGTTTACTTTCTACTACTGACAAAAAAAAAAAAAAAAAAAAGTACTCAGAATAGGTGAAACCAATGTTAAATAGTGTTTACTGAAATTACTTCACTTATTGTGATATAGTTACTAATACACTGAAACAGTGGTTTTCTTTGTGTTTGTAACCAGATTATAAAAGTTGAGCTTCCTTTAGCGAACTGTTGTCACCTTGTAAATCTGTTTATTACTTGTACACCAGTTTTTAGCTGCAATAAGCTTATTTAGTCACTTTTTTAATGGATAATATGCCTTATAAAAGTATAAATTTTCCATTAACTCCTTCCACATGGGGTCGGTGTATCCCACTGACCTTGTAACCACAAAATAAACATCAGTCTTCATACTACAACTTTTAATATAGTACATGTATCTTCACAAAATTTGCCAAGTTTCAGTACACAAAAAATCAGATTTGTTAATTAAGTATTTTTACTAAAGATTTGTTCATGATTATATAGTGTCAGTGTTGTCTGCTCTGAGTGATCTTAATGTTAAGATATTAAAAATTCTTCATTTGAAAATTTATAAGTTTCATTTGCTAACCTTTAAAACCTCATAAATAAATATCAAGTGTTTTTAAAGTAAAACTTTATATCTTATCTGTTATTTTCTCTACCCTAATTCTATACAGACTCAGTCACTTTCACTGATATTGTAACCACCATAAAAAAATATGAAATAAATCTAAATTACCCTTTTCTTCTTTCAAGAATGACTGCAATTGCAACATAAAAGTACAACTTTTATTCATGGAGGCTGGAAGAAGCAATGGAGTCGAGAAAAGTCAATGATCAGCTGCTAATCAGTACTTTTCTGTACTACATACAACCGAGAATAAAAACCCTGGACTACTTGTGCTTGACAGTTGGAAGTAAGCAGGTCCTTGGGACATGGAAGGCCAACCAGTATGAGAGATGGATGAGAAGGAGGTGGAGATGTGAACTGAATGATCTTCTCCTGACGCGAGACCCCACAGGACCTGACCCCATAAGGTAGTCACCACCACCAAAATCAGGGCTCCATTCTAGAATAGGATCCATGCTGGTAAGGCTGAAATTGCCCTTGTTTTCCACTGGATCATGGCACCGAAGCAGGAGATCTGGAAACTCGAACAGGAGATGTACTAAACTGTCCTGTAGATGAACTTTGGGACAGTTGAGAAACCAGTGTATAAAGTGAACAATGTTGACAAGCCACATCTACTTAAACTCCATGGAATCTGGAATTCCCATAAAAATAGACTGTCTAAGAAAAGAGACTTCTCTGAGATTTCTAAGGGCCGACACAGGAAAGTGAAAACCCTTCAATAAGGCATCTCTCTTCAAAAGATCCCAGCAACAAACCAACCAAGATACCCATGATAGAGCAGAAGCTTATACCCTGACCAAAGTGGAAGTCAATTAACAAATAAAATCCTCCATAATTTGAGCAGGAGATCTATGAGAGGCTTCAGACAACAGTTGCAAAATATGATTAAAAAAAACACAAAACTGTTGTAAGTCATAAGACAAACTCTGTAAGACATAAGATGATTAAGATGAATGGTGGCATCTTTTCCAGAGCCCCAACTAGGAAGTAGAGATTCATAAGCTACAGGAGAAATACTCAAAACATTAAAAATATGGCATACTAGTTGTAAAAAGGGTGCAGGCGGCAGAATGTCTGCCTGAGGTTCAGGAGTAGCTGTCTGAGCAAAGGAATCAAGATTCTCACTAGTCCACCCTTGATCTCCAACCAACTCAGCCTCAGAACCAACAGGAGAAAAAGCATCAGGTTACATGTAAGACTCTCTCTCCATATAAAAAACTGTAAGTCCTCCACGGGGTGTCCCCCCGATGACCAAGTACATTAGACTCATGAGGTAGTAGATGAAGGGCATCAGATGACACAGCAACATCTGACGAAAGTGGAAGGACAAGGTAATCGGACGAACTACTTTCTCCCAATAAAGAATGTGATAGAAAGCCAAGTTATGCTGATCCAATAAACCAGGAGGATGAGGTATGGCAGCACCCTCCCTCAATTGATCTCAAATCTCCTTGCATACACAGCAACATCTGACGAAGGTGGAAGGACCAGGTAACCGGACGGACTAGATTCTCCCAATAAAGAAGGTGAAGATTCAAAAGCTACAGGTGAAATACTCAAAACATTAAAAACATGGTGTACTAGTTATAAAAAAGGGTGCAGAAGGCAGAAAGTTCACCCAAGTAGCTGTCTGAGCAAAGGAGCTGAGATTCTCACTAGTCCATCCTTGATCTCCAACCAACTCAGCCTCAGAGCCAACAGAAGAAAAAGTATCAGATCACATGTAAGACTCTCTATATAAGGATCTGTATGTCCTTCACGGGGTGCCCCCCCCCCAATGCCCGAGTAATATTAGACTCGTGAGGTAGTAAACGAGGGGCATCAGATGACTCCATGTCTGAGACGTGCCCGTGAGTATTCATCTCTGATAAATGACTCACAAAAAAATTTTTTTTAACCATAAATAAGAAAACAAACATATAAACTCAAGCCCAACAAAAAAGATCTAAAATAATTCAAAAGAAAATGTTGCAAATGTAGTAACAGTGCTGAAGAGAAACCCGCAGCAAACATGTAAACTTTTGTAGTCAAGAAAAAGTGAATAAGAAAGAATAATGGAGAGTTTATATACGGATCCTATATAGAGGGCACATTGACGTAGGTTGAGAGAATAACAAGATTAAGATCCCTTGTGGCAATATAATGGAGTATAAAAACTGAAGCAAGTGGGGTAGAATTCATAAAAATTATCAGATGGGCAAAGAAAAGAACCTTTTCTTGGGATAAAGCTAAAGTGTGAGCGACAATAAGTGTTTTGGAAGTAACACACTTTGACTTACCCATAGCAAAAGAGTTAATGAAAATTATATATGTGTGTGTATATATATATATATATATATATAT